GAAGAAAATTAATAAGTTTTATTTACTGCATACAAGCTGCAAGTATATAGAATTCATAAAATAAGTTACAAAAATATACGAAATCCATAAAGCGAGTAGCGAATTCAATTTTACTACGAAAATATTTTAATTCATTCTTGAGAGATATATATATAAGGAAAAAAAAGAAAATTAAGAAAATTAATAAGTTTTATTTACTGCGTATAAGCTGCAAGTATATAGAATTCATAAAATAAGTTACAAAAATATATGAAATCTATAAAGCGAGTAGCGAATTCAATTTTATTTCGAAAATATTAAAATATAATTCATTCTTGAGAGACACCGCTGCGTGTAAGTTCATTTGAATTCGCTACTGGCCTCATAGATTTCCTTTTTTGTTCTGTTCTATATTTTCCTTACATTAAATTTTCTATTTTTGATTGATATGTTTTATTTCTTATATATTTTTTAACTAATGTGTTTGAATTTCGTTTTGATGTTTTGAGTGCTCCTCGCACTATTGTATTGATATATTTTGATTTGGCTATATTGATTAATTATTAAAACACACTCCTTTTGTCGGATGTAATCACGTGAACTGATGAAGAGATATATTTTTATTATTTTGTTATCCGGCATTTTAATATATATACATAGTTCTGATACACACGTCTGCTGTTAATATTTAACCCATAGATACACAGTACACAGACAACATACACACATAAAAAATCTTTTTATTTAAATATTATTACAAATATATAATTAAACATAATATTTATTTTAATATCATACACTTATATTTATGGCCTATGGTTTCTCTGGAAATCATACCAAGCAAAGTAATTAAATTCTTTTAAAGGAAAAAAAGCATTTTTTATAAATATATATAAGACGATTCAGAAATTTATAGACTATTTTATTTTTGACAAAATTTTCAACGAATCGGAACTGAAAATATTACAGATGTATTAACCCCTTGACGCAGATGGGACACAGGTGTCCTTTTTATATATGTATTTTCTTCTGACATTCTAATTACAAAGTATATTTTGACATTTCCTAGTTATAAAAAGTAGTCTTATAGTCCCTTAAAATCAATAAGATTATTGGAATTATCTTTGTACTATTAAATAAAATCCAAGTAAGGTAGTTTAATTTTTTTCTCCATTCATATTTTAAAATTTAACATTGATTGATTTTATTAATTAAAGAAATTTTAATGATGTATAACTAGTTCATTTAGATCTAGATAACTGTGCCTTTCGTACTTTCGTTATTTTTTATTTATCTATTTATTTATTTATTAATTTTTTGCGGACATCATAAAATATATCTAGTTCCATTTACAACGGATTCGTCAAAATAAGGCAATAGTTTATTTTTGCCGAACGTCAGGAAGAAATTCTCCCATTCCCGAATAGTATTTTTTTTTAAATTTAATTATTATTTTTTAAATATAAGTAGCAATTTTAAAATTTTAATTAATTTTTAGTTATATTTGAAATCAAATTAACTTTTATTTATATTCAAAATTTGTTTAATTTTTAATTATAACTAAAATTTAGTTAACTTTCAATTATAATAAAAATTTTATTATTTTTTAATTAGAATTTTAAGTTTTAATATTTTTTAAACAATTTAGTTACTTATTTTGAAATGAAGTGATTTTTTTTAACAATTAATTAAAAACTATTTAACATTATTTTCTCAATTAAGTTATTAATTTTATTAATATCAATTTTTCCAGAATTTTTTCAAATGCAACAAGTTATTTAACTTTTTAATCACGTTTTTTTAAAATTCTGATAAATAAGGCCGAAGTAAGAACTGAATTTATGTCTGTATAGTTTAAAAAGTACTTACTAAACCTGATGGCCCCATAGCGAAAGATTATTTTTATCCAACCTCCGCTATTCACCGTCAAAAACCATTAATACTTAAGCTAATAATTTATGAGATTCAAAGATTATGAATATGGCACTACATTATCTTTCTGATAAAATTCTGTTCGCTTCCACAATTTTAATTTAAGAGTGGATATCGCTCATTAAAGTAACTTAATATTTGCTTGGCGCACATTATCTTAGCCTTATTCCGAAAATGCATTTTGCTTCGTTTATGCAATTTTATTTGAGATTTATCATTAAATACCATGCGACAGAGTTTGCATTGATAAACCCCATTCGTCCACTTTTCTAACTCCATCAACAAGATCTTAACTCGACTCTTATATGCATCGAGGTCCATTCTGTCTATGGCTTGCCGAACGTGTTTTTTGTGGTTTCTGGATCGAAAATGTTGCATTAGTGGTACCACACCCGTGTTCTTCTTATCGCAATATTCACAATAGTGCTCACCATACTGGTCAGTTTCGAATTCTTGCACCAGATCGAGCATTTTCCTTTTGATGAGAGAAACCGAAGACATCCACCAGGGATCGTCATCTTTCATCAACTGCATCGTTTTGTGCTTTCTCGTATTGAGATGGGCAAGAAAAGGAACTAAACTATTGAATTGGGCCTCACAAGCAACACACTCCATTCTTAAGTTATTGAAAGGTGTCTGTCTTCTACATCCTAGAAATAAATAATTAAAAAAATAGAAACTATTAATTATTAACTGTGGCAACCACTTATAGAAAAAATGCATTTATTATAGTTTTGAAACTGAGGTAGTTTTCCTCAGATAAAACGAATGCAGGGAGCAACGGATGCAGGGATGCAAACGTTGGAGAGTTGGCTAATTGCGGGAAGTTGGACTACTGAAGCTAGATCAGTTGACCATCAGGGTACTTTCACACACACTTTCACAGTTATAAAGTTTAAAAATTTGCCTGACTAAACTAAATAAATTACATCAGAATCCATCAACTGCCTTTAGCTGGTTGCTCGCAAAAACAGTGCGTTTTCAATAGCGATGTCCAAGTAGGCTAAACTATATCACAGAGTGGAATGAATCAATCTATTTTCCTAATTTTAGGGTAGTGAAAGGCAACTAGTTGTTTGCACTATTCTTAATGGACGATTCTTATTTCCATTTCAATAGAAACGTAATTCTATTGTTTGAGCTGTAGCTGGTTGATCATAGATGGATGCTGGATTGCCACCCATCAATGAACTTGTTTTGCTTATTTATTTTATAATTTTAAAAAACTTGATCTTTTAGGGGTAGTCGGTAGGGCATATACGAATAAAGCTAAAACTGACCTTCTTCGATGCATCTTTTCTCATCATCTAAACAAAATCTTTCCTCAGTTTTTTTTTTCGCAGAATACTTACATATGCATGTTTACACTGTGATAACTGTTAATAAATATCTTCAGAAGAAATTTTTTAAAAAAATTATGAACTGAGAGCTTTTTATTTTTTAAAAAAGCTTCCTCATTTTTGAGCAAAAATCTTTCATAAATCAAAGAGGAACGCTAAAAGAGTATCACAGCGTACAACCTAAATAATCTCAAATGGGTCATTCTCACAAAAAGGTGATTTTTTAAGTCCCTTAGTAATAAATATTAGTAAATACAGCAGATTTCTTAATATTTTTCTTCATCATTTTTCGTAAAGTTCTAACTATCAAATCATATGCATATCTGCTAAATGTATTTAATAATTCATTCTTATTTTTTAATAAACATAACTTCAAAGTCCCCTTCGTGGACGTCCCTACGTCTGTGACACAATATAATTTTTAATGGCTGTTAAACAATTTAAAGGTTATTTTAATGATTTTTGTAGTTTTACCTAGTTAAATGTTTATAGTAACTTTTTATTTAATATTTTTTTGAAAAATATTTTTTTTTATAAAATAAATGACTAGTAAACTTTGTCCATCAAAAATGAAATCTCCCTCCATGGACAATTAATATAGTTCGGTAAATGTGCATTAAAGGGCAACATATGCGAAATCCCTATAAGACAGCTTCTGGGAAAGGTAACCATTCCATTTTCTATTGTTAACTATCAGTTGCTTTTGTTCTCTTTGGTATCAGTTTTGGATTGTTGTGTTCAACTGGGGTTTGGCAAAGCTCTCACCGTATACTCCGTGGACATCATAAAGAAGGTAAGAGAAAATTATTTTATTTTTGATAGATGAATTTTAGATTGCAAAAATAGTATATTTAATAAAAAGAACTGCCCCATTTTTGTAACTTTAAAATTAAAAATCAGTAAAATTCAAGAACTAGTTTTT